AGGGCACGGCCGTCAGCCCCGCTGGGGACAGGGACAGAGGCCATGGGCTCCCCCGGGCCCCGCCTGGCTCCAAGGACAGGGGAAAGGTCTCTCACCTTTTCTGCAATCTGCTGCACCGAGTCCAACTTGATGACCTTGGACGATGCCCCATCTCGGGGCACGCTCGCTGCAGGACGTGGAGATGGGGCATGAGAGGGGCTGGGGGAGATGTGACATGTCCAGCAGCCCCAGGCTGGGCCTGGCCGTGCCCAGCACCGGGGCTGTGTCCCTCAGGGAGAGGCATGTCTGGAGCCAGGCTGGGATTGTGATGCTCAGGGCAGGGAGGGTGAATGAGCCCAGGAAGGTGTTGGAGTGTCACAGAGAGGGGGCAATGGGCAGGGTCAGGACAGAGTCAGAGGTAAAGAGCTCCCACAGGTCCTGGATGGATACAATTTCCCACAGGGGGCACTTACGAGCGATTTCAAACAGCTCAGGCAGCTCCCGGCTCAGCTTCTGCATGGCAATGTCTGCGATGGGGCCCAGGATCACCACCGGCCGCTTGAAGCTGGCTGTGAGAGGACAGAGGGGCTCAGGGGGGCTGGGGGTGAGGGCAGAGCTCCCAGCACGTGGACATCCAACCCCACTCCTCATAGTGCCCACGGGCCTGGGACTCGCCCCACTCCTCCCAGGAGAGCGGAGCCCATCAGCACCCACAGAGGGGCAGCCCTGGGGCCGATGTCACCCGGTGGGTCTGGGCGATGGGGACACAGTCCTGGTGCCCACCTTCCTTCAGGACCACCCTCTCGTACGGTGGGTAGCGACCCTGCTTTGTGAGGGCAGACAGGTCTTCCCGGCTCTTCCGCAGCATCTTCTTGGCTCCCCTCAGGCCCCGCAGCTTCCAAAACTCAGCCCGTGCCCCGGAGGGGTTGGCACCAGACGTGGTTTTCAGCACTGACTCCAGGCTGGCAATCTGCTCGGCCCTGAGAGAGGAGAGGGCTCATGACCTGCAGCCTCTGGGTTTACCCCCCCCTTGTCTCTCTGGGCTCTGAGGAATGGGGCAGGACAAGCCAGCATCACTGCTCAGTGACACGGCTGGGTGAGTCTCCTCCCTCTGGGGCCTTGGACAACCCAAGCATCAGCTGCCCCATCACTCCTGAGAAGGGATTTCACCAGCTCATTCTTCCCCCTGCTGCTCCACCAGCCCTTGCCCTGCCTCTCACTGGGCCCACCATCCATGTCCCTGGCTCACTGGGGAGCCTTCCCCAGCTCTGCTCATCTCAGGGCCATTCCTGGCTCCGTCCCTACCTGCTCTGGTTGGGGATGATGCCCTTGTCCTGCTCCTGCAGGTCCCTGCCCACGCGCACAGCCAGCCAGTTCCCCAGCCTGCCGCGGTACATGGTGTCCAGCACGTGGAACACGTCCCCGCGCACGAAGCTGAGCCCCGACGGCGTGTCCTTCTCAAAGTCAAAGTGCGTCCGGATGTAGAACGAGTCGCCCACGTTGGACGAGATCATCTTCCTGTAAACTGAAGCCCAGGGTGAGAGGGACCATCAGGGGAAGAGGAGGAGCAGGAGGATGGAGAGGAAGGTGCTGGAGGGATTTTGGAAGGAGTGAGGGAGCCTCCAGAGTGGCCCTGCTCCTGAGGAGGCTATTGAGGACACATTTTACTCCCATGGCTTTCTCAGGCAAGCTGGAGACAACAGGACCTGACCCCCTGGCACACACTGCCCTCTCCAGGCTGAGCCATGGTGCCAGAAAGTCCCTGTGCTTCAGGATACCAAGGCACAAATGGGGCTGGGATGGTCTGGTCCTCTCCCATCAGCTTTTTGGAAGAGGAGGAGGGGTTTTGGGGAAGGAGGACCACCCTGCAGGAGAAGGAAGGACTATGGCAAGTCCAGCAGGTCTGATGCTTGCCCAGAAGAGAGAGGATGGAGAGGCACAAGTCCAGGTTGAGTCTGGTCATCACTCACTGTCCGGCTTGCTCTGGGTCCACAGCGTGACCTCCTCACCCACAGGCAGGGCCATGAGGTGCTCCACGGCCTCCTCACGGGTCAGGTGCTGGAAACTGGTGTCATTCACCTGCCACGGAAAAGCACTTGGACACAGCCCTGCCAGTGGGATGGAGGGAATGGGCACCAGTGGGGCTTCCAGGGACAGCAGTGCCCAGGGCAGAGTGGGAGAGGGAACCGGTCCCTGTCACCCAAGTGCCTGCCACAACCCCAAGTGGGCCTCTGAGACTTCAGAGAGGGTGCTTGGACCCCACCGGGTGTCACCGTGGTGCTGGAGACAGGACTGACCCTGCAGACAGTGCCCACAGAGCCAGCCCAGCAGGTACAAGTTATGGGTACCAGCACTGACTAAAAACAATGCCCAGCAGCAGAAATCCAAACCCCAGGGGAGGTATCACACCCAACAGGTGTGACCACACCCAACAGGTCCAGGTGCAGCAGCATTCAGAGCCACTCCCAGCCCGCGGTACCTGGAGGATCTGGTCCCCCTCCCGGACGCCCTGGCTGTCGGCCGGGCTCCCCTCCTGCACGCTGGACACGAAGATGCCCACGTCATTGCCACCCGCCAGCCGCAGCCCCGCGCTCTTGGCCTTCACGAACCGCACGACCCTGGAGTCGGCGCTGTACCTGCCGTGGGGAGGCACAGTCAGCCCGGTGGTGACACGTGGGGACAGGGCAAGGGGGCACAGACCCTGTAACCCCAACCCCATGCCAGAGCAGATCCCTGTGTCCCCCCAGCCGTTCCCTGCCACCTCTCACAGACGTACCCGTCCCTGAGGGCAGCTCGGGGGGCAGTGTGGGGGCTGTGGTCATCCCCCTCCACAGCTTCCAGCGGGTCTGCAGGAAGGAGAGCTGGTGAGGAGCAGCAGTGGCTATGCTGAGGCACAGGTAGCCCTGGCATGACTCTGCCAGGGGTTTGGGCAGCAGAGACACCCAGGAGCCCAGAGCCCCCTCAGTGCCCAGTGCTGAGCCCACTCACCCAGTCCCCGAGCGTCGGCCATGGTCACCTCGGCCACAGGCTCCCTGGTCGATCGTCTGCTCTCCCTGGGACAAGGTGGGGCAGGATTTAGGCAGGGCACAGGCAGGCAGTGCCAAGTGGGCAGTGGGACAGCAGAGCAAGCTGGGGATGGCAGTCCCACCTCCAGGGACAGTGCCTTGGGAATAGAGAACCAGCCCCTCCAGACAGGTGGAGAACACAGCAGATCTGCCAGGGGACAGAGGGGCTCATGGGGACAGCGTGGGGCTTACAGTGGTGAATTCATCCTGGCAGCAGCTGGAGATTGTGGGGAAGCATCAGGGGATGGTGGATGGGACAGCTCGGAGTCGATGTCGGAGATATCTGCAGCAACAGGAGGGAAGATGCACCCGCGACCATCCAGTCCCTGTGCTGTGTATTTGGCCCCCAGTCCCGTCCCCGTGTCCCCTCACCGTCCATCCGGGAGCTGTCGCTCTGGCTGTCCACGTCAGGGATGTTCACCAGGAACTGCCGGTGGTCCCGGAGGATGAGCAGGGTCAGGATCCCCTCTGTCCGCTCAATGAGCTGCTGGGTTTCAGCCAAGGACATGTCCTGGCTGGCCACCCCGTTGATCTGGAGGGGCAGAATGGGAGGCCTCAGGGCACCTGCTCTTGGGAAAGCCACCCCCAGGGAAAGCCCCACCAGAAAGGGGTACTTTGACTGCCATGTCTCCAGTCCCTTCCCAGTCCCTCTAGCCCAGCCCCATGTGCCACAGCTTCTCCTGTCCTGGACCGTGTCCCTACCCCTGGCTGCCTCCCAGTATATCCTTATCCTACACAGAGGAAACAAATTAGCCATGCTAATTAACACCCACCTCCACCTGCCCAGGGCCCTGCCTGGTGGCAGGAGCTGCACAAACCCCTCAGACACCTGAAGCTCAGTTTTACTTTGCCCTTGGCCTGCACTGCCCTTCCACGTGCTGGCCTGGAGCCAGGGAATCAGGCCCCAAGTGGACCCTGGGGCTGGGATCTTCCTGAGTTGCAGCAGCTTTTCCCAACAGTTTGCAGGATGTAATCCCTTCCATTTGCCACAGAGTCACTTTGGCACTGGTTCCCAGTAGCCACAGGTCTGCCTGGCCCAGGTGTGCAAACCAAGGGTCTCCCTCCCTCTAATTCCTCCTCCCCAAGTACTTGCAGCATCATTTCACCTGACAAACACCTGAGCTCCTTGGGGACTGTCACCTGGCAGGGACACACACTCGCGAGGGGAGACCACACACCATGGGGAGAGCAGGGTGGACACGACCCCGCTGTGCCAACAGCACAAGCCACCAGCCCGGCAGCACAGGGGCTGGTCCCCAAGAGCCCCCACGGGGTCCTGGGACAGGCAGGGGGACAGGGCAGGGAGTGGACACCAGACAGAGCTGCCTCCAGCAAGCCCGTGGCTGGGCCCTGCAGTGACACCAGGGATGAGCCCCCCAAAGAGGGGCAGATGAGACCCCCAGCGAGTGCCGTGCACCATGGGGGTCCCTATACCTTCAGGATGAGATCTCCCTCCTGTAAGGAGCTGCCCTTGGCCGCCAGTCCACTCTCCACTATGTGCTTGATGAAGAGCTGACTCCCCAGCTTCACGCCATACTCTGCAGCAGAGAGAGCTGTGACGGTGGCAGAGCCAGGCAGATGCAGGACTCCCTTGAGATCACCCCTCACCACCATCTCCACAAGCCCTGGCTCCCCTTGGGGGAGTAGCAAGCCCCAAAGCTGAGCTCTGCAGCCCCAGGCTGCGGGCAGGAGGTTTGGTGCACCCAGCACAGCACACACTGTCCCCTCGCTGCAGCCAGACCCTGGCACCCACCCTGCCATTGCCTCCTCCCCGGGGAAAGGCACAGCCAAAACTCAGGTGACAAAACCCACGGACAGCGGGAACAGGAGGGGCCTCACCTTCGTTCTGCTTCTGCTTCACCAGGACTGACGTGATGGGCTTCGTGGGCACG